CTCAGCATCAACAATATCATCGTCATCATCACCATCACCATTAACATCATCATAATCATCCCGTTTCCTTCCTGTCCCCTCTTATCTGCACTATATCCGATAATATGATCGCCCTCTCTCTCTCTCTCTCTCCCATCCTCCCTCCCTCCCTGCCTCCTCCCCCCATGCTCTCTCTCTCTCTCTCTTTCTCTCTCTCTCTCTCTCTCTCTCTCTTTCTCTCCATTACCAGATGTACATATAGAGATACACAGATATAGGTGTGTATATATATATATATATATATATATATGCGTGTGCACACTCATACGTACATCGACATGAAGCATTTGAAGGCCCACTCCGTTTCACTTCAATCTTGGCGATACATGATTGACAGATGTAGTCGTAGGGGTTGGCGGGAGAGCCACGCGACGAGGTCAATAGCATGGAAAAGTGAATCAATGAGGCCACACCTGGGGGGTATGGGCGCAACGCAATCAGAAGTGCGAGGTGGGCGGGGAATGGAATAGACGCTCATGGAACGGGACGGGGTTGAGGAAGGGCGCGAACGGGTATGGCCCTGACACCCATCTTGATATGTGCCAGAGCCTGTACAGACTGGGAAACTTCCTCCATCTCAGCCTCCTCCCCCAGGGTCTGCAACTGCAAGCTCACTAGGAATATAAGGAAGCACATTCGGGTGTCCCATGGTTTATGGAGACCCCCTGCACCGTGTTCGGCCGTGTCGGGAACCGTCTCAGCTTAATCCAAGGTTACGAGTGGCCCCGTGTTCGAGGTTCCGTGGACCCGTTTCCGCAACATCTTGTGGGTCCGTTTGGAGGTCGTCGGGCTCTCTTGGGTCGTGAAATGGCCCTTTGGGCCGTCTCGGGGGTATCTTGGTTGTTTTGGCGCCCCGTTGGGCTGCTGGGGCACTTCCTGTTGGGGCTGTCTTGGGCCGGTCCATGTCCCTTTGGGGGTGATGTTGTGGCGATCTTGGGGGCCTCTTGGGGGGGGGGGGGGGCTCGGGCTTCTCGGTTCCTCGCTCTCTTGCCCGTTTCTGGCCCTTCCTGGCCCGCTTTTCTGTGTCGGCCCGTCCCGGTGTCCGAATAAGAGCCGCGGCGCCGCGCACTGCTTGTGAACCCCTGTGTGCCCGCAACCCTGGCACCTGGGAGTGTACGACTGACGGATCAGGCCCAGGAGGCCCCCTATCAGCTCGGGCTTCTGGGAGATTGAGTAACGGTTTCGTTGGACCCACACTGGAATGTAAGGGACACCTGTAATTTCGGCCTCGTGGGTGCCTCTCGGGGGCTCCTGGGGCCGCCGTGGGTGCCCGTCCGGCCCTCCCGGAGGCTGTCCGGCTGCACTGGGAGCAGTCTCGTGTCCCTGAACTCAGGAGCGAAAGAAGGACGTACATGTACATGAATCCACGCTGGTTTCGAGAGCACGCATTGCACAAATGCTCGTACAACGCGGCCGGTCTCGCGAATCGAGGGGCCGTGTTCATGTACATAGCTTGGCGCGTACGTCCTTTGTGGGCTCCCTATGAACAGCGGGCTGGAGCGCGACTGGCGCCATACGGAGCTCTTCTGACGGCTGTCCGAGGCGGCGCGAAGAAAAACAAATCCACCCCTGGAAAACCAATGCGAGGGGGGTTATGCATCTTGTACCGCATAAGAAATCACGTGTGTGCTTTTTGGGTTCTCTTTACCTCTCTCCATCTCTATCGCTCTCTCTCTCCTCTCTTTATCTCTCTATGCATCTCTCTCTTTTTCCCTCTCTCCCCCCCGTGTGTATGTATATATAGAGGGAGATACATGTGTGTACATGTCCATACAGACATAATAAAATACATGCACACCTATATGACCACCCTTCGTGTGATACAGAGGTTGGGGGAACATGGGTGCAGCAGTCGGTTCGCGATTGGCGGGAGATCAGTTTTACAATATGTTGGAATAACAATCCCGCATTCTATATAAATATGGACATCGATATTATTATTTACCTGTCGGTGACACTGCACATCGATATCACGACCTACCGATTCCACTGTCTATATGACAGTCGACACTACGATTTACCAGTTTCATTGTATGTCTGTCGATATCCTTACCAGGAGGTTGTGATGTGTGTCACTATGTAGCGGTCCTGCTATGTACAGGTTGATGACCACGGGGCAACCACGGGACAACCACGCGAAAACCACGGGACAGTCACGGCACAACCACAGGGCTATTACAGGACAACCACGGGACAACCACATGACAATCACGGGACAACCAGAGAAAAATGTTGAGACAACCATGGGACAACCACACAATAACCACGGAGCCACCACAGAACAACCACGGGACAACCAGGTTAACCACGGGAGAACCACAAAACACCATCAGGATAATCACGGGACGCCCACAGGACAATCACGGGCCAACCGCGGAACAATTACAGGACAACCACGGGACCACGTGACAACCGAGAGACAACCACAGGACAACCACAGAACAAACACGGAACAATCACGGGACAATTTCGGGACAACGACAGGACGACCACCGAACAACCACAGGACAACCGCGTGACAACCACAGGACAACCATTGGACATCCAGTTGGAAGATCACGGGACAACCATTTGGACAACCATCGGGACAACCATCGGCGCAACCATCGGGACAACCACGGACCAACCACGTGACAACCATCAGGACAACCACGGAACAACCACGGAACAGCCACCAGGCAACCACGGGAGAACCATGGAACAGCCGCGGAACAATCACGGGACAATTTTTTGAAAATCACGGAACAACCACGGAACAGTTACGGGGCAGTTGCGGGGCAAGCACGGGACAACCACGGGCCCATTGCAAGACAATTACAGGACAACCGTTGGATCCACCATCGGGACAACCACCAGGACCGTCATCGGATCAACCATCGGGACAACCATCGGATCAACCATCGGGACAGCCATCGCGACAACATCAGGACACCAGTTGGGGCAAGCATCGGGAGAATTTGCGGGACAACCATCGGGACAACCATGAGGACAACCATCGGGACAACCCCCAGCACGCCCAGGCGGGTGGGGGCCCGCCTCGTTTGGGCGTGTTGCGGTCCGAGTTAGTGCAGGAGCTCGCGCTGCTTCGCCTCGCCCGCTCGCACGACACGAACCAGCACAGAAGCTGATGTCCCGCTCGGGCGGCCAGCCACGGCTCCGCACATGGGCTTGCCGCTGCCGGATTCTCGAGTGCGCATCTCCAGCTCTGCTCGGCGTGCCCCCACACATGGTCCTGCTATACCTCGCCATGCTGCATGGGCAAGCTCCCGTCGCCCAAGCCGGCGTCAATCATGACTGGCAGGGGTCTGCCGATCGGCGGCGCTCCAGAGGCTTTGCCTCCGTCGACAGTGCGGCGGGCCACCCTTCGAGCCGTTCCGAGTCCGCGCTCTGCAGGAGGCCTCGCCTCAGCCAGCTCGGCCCGTATCCCATGCCCCCGTCCCGCACGCCTCCACTCGGCGCTCGGACGAACTGGAGGAGGAGGAGGAGGAGGAGGAGGGGGAGGAGGAGGAGGAGGAGGAGGAGGGGGAGGAGGAGGAGGAGGAGGAGGAGGAGGAGGAGGAGAGGAGGAGGAGGAGGGGAGGAGGGGGGAGGAGGGGGAGGAGGGGGGCGCGGTGCGTCCGAGCGCGTCTGGGGGGCCCCCCGGGGCCGCCGACGCAGCTCGGGCTCCCACGCCTCGGCGTCAGTCCTGGCATTGCTCGGACGTGTGCATGTTTTTCCTCGGCGAGGACCATCGAGGAGCATCCTTGATCATTTGGCGAAAAAGCCACGCACAGAACCGAACAAAAACTCAGGGAATGGACGTCCGAGCGATGGCCAGCAGTGCGGGCCGGATGGACGGCGACACTTCAGAGCAAAGGGCTCACGGGGGTGGCTTGGTATCGCTCGGACGTGTGCAGTTTTTCCTGGCGGGGACCATCGAGGAGCACCTTGGATCCAATGGCGAAAAGTTGCCAGCACCGCAAAATGCACGGGGGTGGACGTCCGAGCGATGGCGGGACGAGACGAACAGCGGGTGCATCAAGGAAGGAGCCGGCCTGCCAGCAGGTGGCCAGCGCCACCGTCCTGTCCCCCGCTGGCCCTGGGGGGACCCGCAGAAAGCCTACTCGAGGCGCCGTGCAGGGTCCTCGATCGATCCAATCGACCCGGTTCGCTGTCGGCTCTGGCCGGCCCGAACCGGTTCGATTCCGATGTTCAGTACCGTTTATCCGATCCCCATCCCCATCCTCGTCCCCTTCGAGATCCCCACCACACTGCCACCCCAGTTGGGGATACACCACTCGAGCCCCGAAGGGGACGGCCTGTATCCCCATCTAGGGGGATAAATCGGCCAGTGGGGCCCAGGCCACGCCGCTGGGGATGGGGATCGGTGAAACGATACTCCGATTTTCAGGCGGTCCGATGCGGCACGATGTTTGCATGGCGCCGGTATGCATCCTGGCGCCCCCGATTCGCTCCGACTCCGACTCCGAGCCTGTGCGGCCCGACTCCGTTCGGCACACGTTCCGATCCGATCCGATTGCCCGATGCGATGCTGACTGCCCTTGCCGTAGGAAGCCCAGTTAGATGCTTGTTCGTGGGGCCTTCCTGGGGCCCACCTGACAGATCTGTTCGGACCCAGTTCGACTCAAATTCGACTCAAGTTCGACTCAAGTTCGACTCAGGTTCGACTCAAGTTCGACTCAGGGTCGACCCAAATCGACGGACGTTCGAAGCAGCTTCGGCGCACGAGTGGAGCGAGTGTCTCCAGGGGGGTCCCCAGAATGAGCATCCAAGCCCAGAGAGAGGCGACAAGACTGCCCCTCCTTGATTCCTTGCGGCAGGAAGTGCTTATCACGGCTCGACGGCGGGCGGCGGCCCCAGGATATCAGAGGAAGCGCGCGCTGCGTCGTCTCCCGCGGCCGGCCGCAGGCCGCGGGCCAGCCGAGGGGGCCGCCTGTTTTTAGCTTGGGGACCCTCAGGACATGTGCTGGCCCACAGCGCGTGTGCTTACCTCGAAGAACAAAAAACGCCCTAAACATGAGCTTTTGGCGCTCCGCGCTGATTTCTTGGATCCGCGCTGGGCCCCCCTGGTAGGCGCCTCCGGCGCCGCCCCTGGCGCGCTCCGCGCGCCAGGGAGGGGTGTCCAGCGCAGATCCAAGAAATCCGAGCGGAGCGCCAGAAGTTTATGTTAATTCCCTACCTAGGCTCTGCATAGAAGGGTTCTTACTCGGTATGCTTAAAGGGCCTGGCAGTGTAACGCGCCCCCGGCGGTTCCCCCAGTATCCGCCCCGCGGTTCCCCCAGTTACGTCCCCTTAGCTTAGCGTTGCTTATCTCATCTGAGCTTAGCTTGGCTTAGCTTAGCGTAGCTTAGCTTCATCTTAGCTTCGCTTAGCTGTAGCTTGGCTTAGCTTAGCTTAGCTTAGCTTAGCTGAACTAAGCTACAGCAACAGCAACAGCAAAGCAAAGCACGAGCAACGCAAAGCAAATCAAAGCAAAAGCAAAAGCAAAAGCAAAGCAAAGGAAAGGCAAAGCAAAAGCAATGTGCAACAGTACGATCAGAGAGCCCACCCTGTGAGCGAATGCAAAAACATGCGTGTGTGTGTGCGAAGGCAAAGCAAAAGCAAACCCAAGCAAAAGCAACAACAAGCAAAAGCAAAGGCAAGGGTCGCATTGGGGTAATGTTTATGTTTCTTCTTCTATTACCCCGCTGAGCTCCGTCGAAAGCACGCAGCCTGTGTTGGCCCGCGCTGCCCCGCATGCGTCGCATTCGAGGGCTTCTGTGTGCAAGCACACGTTGACACTGACACACGTGAGGAGGGTCATCGATCACAGCAGGCCTTCCAAATAGGACATCTTGCCTGCCCACGGGCGCCCCACCATCACTGGCTCGTCTCGCGATGGGCCCGCAGAGTCCCGGGGGCTCCGCACGAATCCTAGGGCCAGCGAAAGATGTGCCCCCAGAGCCCCTGTAGCAAGACGCCTCATCGTATGGACCTGCTGCAGGCCGCGCCCAGAGATCCGACGCTGCGACAAAGCGTGGAGCGGCGGATTCGGGCGCCGTCGTCGGCCTCTATATAGGGGCCCTCGCCGTGCCCGAAAGCCGCCAACCAGCGAGTCGGGACGACAAGCCCTGGGGCAGTGGTCGAGACCTCTAAGGGGCCCACTCGTCGAAGAACTTGGAGCGGCCCGAGAACTGGGCAGCCCTCCTCGCTCCCGCGCCGCGGCCGCGCCGGGCCCGGCCGCATGCCTGCCCCGGCCGCATGCGCGCGGGGCGCGCGCAGGGCGCGGCGGTGGTGTTCAACCGGCTGCGCCCGCCGGACGTGCTGCGGGAGTGGCAGGCGGATGGGCCCATGTTCCACCACCACCACCACAGGTAGGACGGGGGAGAAGGGAGGGACGGGGAGGTCCTCCTCCTCCTCCTCCTCCTCCTCCTCCTCCTCCTCCTCCTCCTCCTCCTCCTCCTCCCTTTGTGTGGTGGTGGTGGAGAGGGAAGATCGGCCCGTCACAGGCGGCCAGCGGCCTCTCGGCGGAGGACCACGTGGCCGCGCTGTACTGCCTCGGGCGCGCCGTGCGGGGGCTGTGCGCCGAGGGCCGGGGCGCGCCCGCCGCGCAGCACCAGCAGCAGCGCGCCCTGCACGCGGAGCCGACCTTCGCGGCCCTGCTGGCGGCCACGCTGGAGGCTCGGGGGGCCCCAGGACGCCCCCCCCTCGCGGCGTGGGCCAAAATCACGGCGGGCGGTCTTTTGTCACTCTCGGCCTCCCTATAGGGGCCCTCCCTGGGCCTCAGGAGCCTCAACAAAACGCCTCAGGATGATGAAGAACGGGCCCCGGGGACGGGGTCCAGACCTCGGGGTCGACGCTACGAAAAAAACACGACGTCGGGGGTTTGGGGAGGGCCGCTCGAGGCAGCGGCGGGACTCCCCGGCGTGCTGCGTCCTCCCCGGGGCTCCTGGAGATTTCTCGCCGCCACGGCGGGATGCGCCTCGAGAAACGGGACAGGATCGACCCCGCGGGGGGCGGGCGTGGGCCTGGGCCTGGGCCTGGGCCTGGGCCTGGGCCTGGGCCTGGGCCTGGGCCTGGGCCTGGGTGTGGGCGTGGGCGTGGGCGTGGGCGCGGGTGTGGGCGCGGGCGTGGGCGTGGGTGTGGGCCTGGGCCTGGGCGTGGGCGTGGGGAGAAGGCCTTCTCAGAAGGCGGCGGGCTTCTGAGAGGTCTCCTGCGTGCTCAGGAAACTTCTCCCTGAAGGCTGGGGGGGGCACCCGAGCCTTCTGAGCAGACCCGCCCCTGCTCGCTGAGCACCCCTCGCTCGCCGCCGAGGAGCGCCACCCCGCGAGGGGCCTCTAGGGGCCGATGTGGGCGAGCTGCGGGCCGGGCGGAGGAGCCGCCGCCGCCTCGACTGCCCAAACACCACGAATCCGGGACCGAACAGCAATGTCTGCGCGGTCCAAGCAAGAAGTGCGGTTCGGCCCCAGAAGTCGTTGTTCGGTCCCGGCCCTTTTTGGGGTGTCTCCTCCGAGAGGCGGCCCCGCGCCTCAACGCCAAGGGTCTCTCGCGGGTCCTGCTCGCTCTCGGCGACACGCACGAGGACCTGCCCTTCGCCCACCTCTCCCTGCCGGACGCCTACACCCGGCTGGTCCTGGCCATCTCCACGAGCGCCTCCGAGCGCCTCCTGGCGGGCTGGAGCGACGGGCTGGCCGGCGGGCCGTGCCCAGACGACCGCGACCTGGCCTTCCCTCTCTTCGCGCTGGCGCGGCTCGGCGTCTACCGGCCTCCCGTGCTCCGCCGCGCGCAGAGGGGGGCACGAGGGAGGCGGAAGGCTTCTCAGAAGCACCCCTGCTTCTCAGGAGGCGCGGGCCGGCGCCTTCAAGAGGCGGACCCGTAGATGGAGGGCCGCCGCCTTCCAAGAAGCAGCCTCCTTCCAGGGAGCCTTCCCCCCGACCCTTCCGATGTCCCAGCATACTTTAGCCTAGATCACCAGAAAGAATTTCGAGCACCAAGAAAGTACCGAAACTTGAGAGTTTACACGTGTCGGGCCCCGGGAGGGGATACTCGTTCGGCACTGCTTCGATACTTGATTTTCTGGGTGCTCGAGATAATTTCTGAGATGTGGCCGTGAAGTACGATGGGACCAACAGAACCCTACCCCTCAGTTTAAGGAGCGGCGCCGCGGCCGTCATTTCCCAGGCTTGCGCCCGCCAGGTTTGGGCCCGAGGTCGTTTTCATGTGAACCACGCTTTGCGAAAGGGGGTTCCGCCCATCCCCGGTCTAGTACCCCCTGGTGCGCGCCGCGCCGAGGTGTTCCGCGCCGCGTCCCGCCTGCTCGCCCGGAAGCTGGAGGAGCCGGGCGGGGGGCTGCCCGCGGAGTGCCTGCGGCAGTGGCTGCTGGCCTGCGGCGCGGTCGGGCACCGGCTGGCCCCCAGCGAGGAGCGGGCAGTCGCGCGCTGCCCGCCGATCCAGAGGAGCAGAAAGCAGCACGGAACATAACTTCTCGGAGATCCAACGTATGGAAAAAATCAAGCCGGAGGTTTTCAGCGATTTGCGGCCTCTAGGGGCCCTCGCCGGGCCTCGGCACAGTCAAGAAACGACTCAAAAAACGACTCGGGATGAAAAATTGGTCCTGGGGAGTGGGTCGAGACTTCCAGGGGGACCAGATTGAACAAATCACGACATCGGATCTCTGGGCCAGTTAGAGACGCCACGGGCCGTCTAGAGCCGGCTGGCCGCGCACGCCCGCGAAGGATCCCAAGGATCCTCGAGGGACGCCACACACCGCAGAGGCTGGCCGCAAGCTGTGAGCAGCTTGCTCGGCCTGACCTGCTCGGCAGCCGAGCAGCGCCCGAGGTTCACACAAAAGCGTTCGGAGGTCCGCGCGGGTTCCTCGCCTCGTCGCGGGCCCCCCTCCCGCCGCTGGGAGGGGGGGGGGCACGGCGCCGCGCCGAGAAATCCGCGCGGACCTCCGAACGTTTGTGTCCGCGACATCTTTCTGCTCCTCTGCGAGCACCTGGCTGGAGTCCGACTCCAACCGGCTGCACCAGCTGGCGGGCGCCGCGGTCGTGCTGCGCAGGCCGGACCCGCTGCTGGCCGCCCTGGTGCGGGAGGTGAACGCGCGGCCGCCGGGGCAGATCCAGGAGGCGAGCAGGGCGGAGGCGCTGTACGGCCTGCAGGCCATGAGGCTGCTGGCCACCACGGGGGCTCTGCCGACGGAGGCGCGCCTGGACGCGGCCCTGGCGGAGAGGCTCGACGCCTGGCTGGAGGAGATCGCCATGAAGCAAGCGGGCCCTGAGGGAAACGGGTCCTCGAGGTGTGCCTCCGTTTTCGGACTCTCTTGGCCCTCCACGGTCCCCGGAACTCTCAGAGGACGATTCAGGACGAGGACCTTGTCCCGGGGGAAGCCCTGGGGTCCAGGACCCGTTTCCCTCAGAGCCCGTTTGCTTCATGCCAAGGAGAAGAGCCGCCGCGTGCGCCGGCGCTCGCGCCTGGAGCGCGCGGTCGGAGCGGAGCTGGAGCGCGGCGGCTTCCAGCCGACCCCAGACGTCTCGGTTGGCCACGGGCTCAGCGCGGACTTCCGCTGCCTGCACCGGGGCCAGGCGTTCTACGTGGAGGTGGACGGGCCCTCGCACTACTGCGTCCGCCCCGTGGGCCAACCCCTGGGCCGCACGCTCCTCAAGCGGCGCCTGTTCGCAGCCCTCGGGCTGCCCCTGGTCCCGGTGCCGTACTGGGCCGCCGGGCTGCCCGGGGCGAGCAGGGCGGCGGAGCGGGGCGGCGTGGAGCCCCTCGACCTGAACGTGGGGGAGATGGCCGAGGAGGCGCTGTCGCAGCTTGGCGCAGCGGGGGCGGCATAGTCGGGCGCGCGGGGGCCCACCCCTCCCGCGGCTGGAGAGCACGCGTCGCCCGGCGGGAGCAGAATCACCCGCGGCCTCCGTCGGCGAGCAGAGGGGGGCTGGGCGGCATGGCGGTGGCCTCGCTTCGGAGGTGGCCAGAGGTGGCCCTGGCCCAAGACTGGGGGAACGGACACTGACATATAAACATACAAACTCAGAGGTCCAATGGCAATACATGAAAATTAACCATGGCGCTGGGCCCCCTGGCGGCGCCTCCGGTGCCACCCCTGGCGCGCTCCTCGCCCCAGGGAGAGGGGTCCAGCGCCGATCCGAGAAACCCGGGCGGATCTCCGAGTTTTGATGTTCATGTCATTATTGTGTTCCCTGAAAGGGTGCCCCCAACTTCTCGCACAATGTTGAAGGCCTGTGGGCCCTCTGGGCCCTATGAGAGGTCCTCTCGAGGCCATCTGATCTCCGTCGGGTCGGGCGATAGGGAGGGAGCAAAGGGGGGGTGCGAGATCTACTGCGTGAAGTTGATTCAGCCGATTTGCCCCCCCCCCCCCCCCCCTCCACCCCACCCCCCACCCCCCCTTGCGATCCCTCCGTTCCGTCCGCCAAAGCCCCCTTGGAAAGCCAGAGTCATCTGGGGCCAGGGGCGCGTCTGGCGGCGCACGATCGCTGCCCTGACGGGTATCCCCGAGGCGCTGAGGGAGCTTCGCCAGCAACACGCAGTCCCTGCCCAGACCTCCGACGTCGCGATCTTGTTCGCAACGTGAGGCTCGGGACCAGGACGGCTCGAGCGCATGGGGCATATGGCCGTTGACTGAAACATCGGTCTGTCTCCATAATGGTGGGGATACCGTTGTCGGCGTCTTTGGGGACTCGCGCAGAGGGCGGCCAAGATCCTGGGCCCAGGGGGCCTCAAACCCTTGCGCTCTCCGCCCTCGCCCCTTCCAAACGACGCCGCCGACGTCCAGCATGAACCTCCGTATGCGCAGCTGGACAGAAGTCCGACCACCTGATATGCGGCGGTCTCTCCGAACGCGTCTTCGCCACCTCGCGCGCTCGTTGTCGATAGGGGAGCACGGCGATGTTAGCTCAGGGTGCACCCTGGCGCACCCCCCAGCGACAGAACATGTCACGATGCTCGTTGATGAGAATGCACTCTGTGCGCCCCCCCCCTCTTGAGGGGAGGTGTAGGGGTGGGGGTCTGGCGCTGGCGGGGGGACCGCCCGCGCCTCTCCAGAATTTGGTGTCGTTTTGGTGCTCCCTGCTTCTGCAGGTGACCAGCATGCCCACGGCGAGATGCGGAGTCTCCGCGGCCGTCGCAGACGGGTGTGCAGTGTGCTGGCGCCGTTCCGCCGCACTCAGGAAGTCTCGTGCACGGTCGTTGCGCAGATCATGGTCGCGATGTTCACGGTGGGGTCACAGTGGAGATGTGCATGTGTATGTGTGTGTGTTTGTGTGTGTGTGTCTGTGTGTGTCTGAGTGTCTGTGCGTCCGTGTGTCTGTGTGTCTGTGTGTGTCTGTGTGTCTGTCTGTCTGTCTGTCTGTCTGTCTGTCTGTCTGTCTGTCTGTCTGTCTGTCTGTCTGTGTCACGCAGTTTTGCCATCTGGTCAAGGGAGGTAGGAAGAAGCGCCCCAAGCCCCATAGCCGGCATGCGTTGGATAGTCCCGTGCGCTTGCCAGACAGACTTGCCTTGCTCGATTATTTCCTCGGGTGCGATTGCCCAAGGGCTTTGCTTCTCGGGTGAATCGTCCGCCCTCTTTCTGTGGCCATCTTTCCAGAGTCGCCATTTCACGCCATAGCGTGATCCAGATATTATGTTCCCCTGTGTCTGAGGACATCCTTTGCGGGTGTTGTTCTCGGCGAAGCCAGGTGAAATTTCGCGCCTGCCGAGTGCAGACTAATTCACTGCTTGATTGACGGACGCCAGCGGACAGCTCAGGGAACACACTCTAGGCACCCGCAATTTCTTTGGCCACGATCCATCGCGATGGCACCCGGTTGCAGCTGCGCCCGGTAGCACGTATTGCGCCGCGGGCACCCACAATTGCACCCGCAAACCCACCCGCAGCCAGGCAATATCTGTTGAGCCGCGGGCACCCGCAGTTGCAACCGCAGCTGGGCAACACATTTCGGGCCGCGGGCACCCGCAACTGCTCCAGCAATCTCACCCGCAACCGCAACTGGGCAGCACTTCTTGGGCCGCGGGCGCCCGCAGCTGCAATCGCAGCCCCAACCAGGCAACACGTCTGGGGCCGCGGGCGCCCGAAACTGCACCAGCAACCTCACCCGCAACCACAACTGGGCAACACTTTTTTAGGCCGCGGGCAGCGGCAGCTGCAACCGCACCTTCATCCTGGAAACAGATTTCGATCCCCAGCTACCCGCAACTGCACCCGCCACCGCACCCACTTCAGGAAGACCGAAACGGGGACGGAAAGAACGGGGGCGAAGACCGACAGCAGTTTTCCCAATTTGGGATTGGAGTCGTTGCCGGAATCGCCATTGACGCCGTCCGTTTGCAATTGGAGGCGCCCGCTCAGCATCGGTCGCTGCCGCTTTGGGAACATGTTTGTTGTTGGACGGCGTTCTCTTTCTTGATGTCCCCAGTTCAGGCGTGCAGAGATGTGGTCTCGTCTGGGGCTGTTCGAGCCAAATCGGCGGCTCATCAGCATCACCACCCATTGCGCTAGATCGTCATCAGCACCACCACGCTTACCACAACTGTCGTGCCGTCTTACTCGTCCACACCCGCGGACACGACACCCTGTTCGTCATTATCAGCACCATCACCAGCATTATATGATCATCATCAGCAGCAGCAGCATCATCGTCATCATCATCACCATCATCATTGCATTATCATTATAAGCATGTATACTCGCCATATTGCCCCTCCTTGCCGTTGCAAGCGGCCCCCTGGGCGTGGTCGGCGATTCTCCGCCAGAACATTACAGTGGGAAATCCCCGTTCCAAGCTTCTGCTGCTCCTCATTGGCTCGTGCCGGTGTTGCAAGTGTGATTGCGTGTGTGGGCATGTGGTACACCATTTCCTTGCGCCATGTCGTGCCATTCCGTATTGCGCCATGCCATGCCTTATGTTTTGGCCATGCATTCGCGACGTGCAGAACCCCATGTGTTTCTGTGTGCGGAGTCTTTGCTGGTAAAGCGTAGATTGGCAGGCACAGCGAGTCAGCCCCACGTCCCGTGCCCACATCCGTGAAAACACACACACACATGATGTGTTTGTGGGGCGTCGCGGCCGCGCGCGCAGCGACGCAATGGAGTCTGCCAGGGAAGAGACGTGTACACACACACAGACAGAAAACAAACATACACACACACACACACACACACACACACACACACCGCAGCAACCGTGTCTCTCTTTTAGTGGTGGCGCCTGCCGCAACCAAACATTTCCATGGATATCGGGCCGCGCTAAGTGGACTCATCCATCTTGAGTGTCGTAACGTGTCGTCGACTGTCCCACATTCCACGCGCCGTGCGGGACGTCGATAGTGGGCCTGGTGGACATATATGTCATGGGCGGCAACGGCGACGGCTTCATATCCGTGGCCGACGACAGCAAGCTGGACATCGTCGAGAGGTGGGGCGTCTTTGACCCATGCTCCCTGTGCTGTTGATCCAACCGATCCCCCAGCGAGCGCGCCTGGCAGCGCGCCCTCGCCACCTCTCCGCGCGCGCGAGCAGGAGAGCAGCCCAGAGAGGGTGACGCGGAGTCGGCTCTGCGGGAGGTGCGGAGGCCCGACGCTCGGCGGCGCGCCCGCGGGGGGGGAAGGCCGAGGGGGCCGGGCCTCCTCGGGGGGCTCCGGAGGCCTTCGGCCCTCCGAGAGGCCTCCCGCGCCTGCTCTCGGAAGCCGCAGAGGGCCTCTCAGAAGGCCGCAGGGCGTCTCAGGCGCCGTCCGAGGAGGCTTGCCCCCTCCCCGCTCCGTTTGTCCCCCCCGGCGGGCGCGCCGCCGAGGATCGGCCCCCACGCGCCGAAGCCTTCAGAGGTTCCAGGCCGCGGTCGCGCCATGGCGCGGCAGGGGATCGGGGCAGGGAGGCACCTCACCCCCCCGGCGGGCAAGCGGATGTGGGGCGCTGCCGTCCACGGGCCAGTCGTCGGGAGCTGCGCCATGCCGATCGCGCCAAAGTTCCCCACCGAATGCTGGTTAGGGGGCAAGACGCAGCCCTCTCGGGCCGGGGAGGGGTGCGGCGAAGGTACACCGCTGGCGCGTCGGACCGCGCTTCAGCGAGGCCCCATGGTGGCGCACAGGGGCGGCCAATTCTCTCCGAGAGCGTTCCACTGCTCGCACAGTGCCTACTGACAGAAGGTCCTGTAATGGGTCGCAGATCCTCCTCGGCGGGTCCCGGCCACTTGCGAGTAGTTACTTTGTGAGAAATGGAACGCGCTTGCCTATATTCCGGGCTCCCGCTTCCGCGCTCACGCGCCTGCTGAGGAGCCCTTGACTGATGCCCTCGGGAGCGTGCTCTGGGTCACCAGCGGGGCGCGAAGGCAGCAGTGGTTCGCACCTCGCGGCCGGGGTCGGACAGTTGGCCTCCTCCAGGGGGCGAAGAGAGGGCGCGAGGATCACTGCGCATCGCGGGGCACGGTGGGCGAAGTCAGGGGACCGAGGCCTCAGAAGCCTCCAGAGAGTTATGGTGTTCCAACCGATTAGCCTTGATCACCAGAAAGAATTTCGGGCACCAAGAAGGTACCGAAGCTGCAGGGGTTTCACCTGCTGGGGCCTGGGAGGCGATGCTCGTTCGACACTGTTTCGACACTTTTTGTGGTGCTCGAAATTGTTCCTGGGATTAATTTGGTCCCTCGATACGATGGGAGCAACATACCCGGAGAGGCCCGGCGCGCCTTTGCCGCGGGGGCGCATGAGCGAGGCCGTGGGCCGAGGCCCCGATGGGCCCCGAGCGCGGCGAGCGCGTCGAGACTCCTGCGGCGAGTGCCGGAGAAGCGGCACGGGGGGGCCGGCGCCGCACGTGCGCGGGCACTCAGCGGAACCCGGCCCGATGCCCCTCGCGTCATGAGAAAAACCCGGCAACACTCGGACGTTATCATTCATTCTCGGCGAGAACCATCAAGGAGCATCCTCTTACGAAAAAACGCGCGCGAAACCGAACAAAATGCACGGGGAACGGACCTCCGAGCGACGGTCAGAAAATCGAAGGACCAAGAACAGCATGAACGTGAACTTTCGACGGTTCGCGCGGATTTCTTGGATCTGCGCTGGGGCTCCCTGGCGGCGCCTCCGGCGCCGCCCCTGGCGCGCTCCGCGCGCCAGGGAGGCGGCTCCAGCTCAGATCCAAGAAATCCGCGCGGACCGGCAACAGTTACTGTTTATGCCGCGCTTCGTTCCTCTACCGAACCCCCTCGCGTCACGAGAAAAATCACGACGGGCGTGCTTTTCCCCAAACAGCTTGCTGAACGGGGTGCTGTTGTAATAGATAGAAGCTAGAGTGGGGAGCAAAGACATCCTCACAAAAATCTGATGGTCCGGCCCGTTTCGCTTGAGACATCCTCACAACTCTCGTTTCTGAGTTGGCCGGGATTGGCCGTTTCGCCTGAGACATCCTCGAAAAGTTGCGCTCCGGGACGCCGCGCGAGAGGTGGTCCGGGCCGTTTCGCTTGAGACATCCTCGAAACTCTGAGCCCCGAGGTGCCGTGCGAGAGGTGGTCCGGCCCGTTTCGCCTGAGACATCCTCGCAACTCCGGGCTCCGAGATGACGCTTGCGAAGTGGTTCGGCCCGTTTCGCCTGAGACATCCTCGAAACTCTGAGCCCCGAGATGCCGTGCGAGAGGTGGTCTGGCCCGTTTCGCCTGAGACATCCTCGCAACTCTGGGCTCCGAGATGCCACTTCGCCTAAGACATCGTCGCAACTCTGGGCCCCAAGGTGCAGCGCAAGGGGTGGTCCGGCCTGTTTCGCCTGAGACATCCTCGCAACTCTGAGATGCCCTGCGCGAGGTGGTCCGGCCCGTCTCGCCTGAGACATCCTCGCAACTCTGAGCTCTGAGATGCCGTGCGCAAGGTGGTCCGGCCCGTTTCGCAGAAGACATTCTCGCAACTCTGAGCTCCCAGATGCCGCGCAAAAAGGTGGTCCAGCCTGGGGGCCCAGAAGACCATATCTTACATATCCCCCCTGGGGCCCCAGGAGGCCCCAGAGAGCTTCAGGAGGCCGCAGGACGCCCAGGACAGGCCCCAGGGGTCCCCAGGACATCTCCAGGAGGCCCCCAGGAGGCCTCAGGAGGCCCCTTATCAGCACGTGTCAAGTTAATACGCATCAAGTGCTGATTCGTTGAGTTTTCCTACTCTTGTGGCCCCCCCCATTCTTGGGGGCCCCGACGGCCACATGTTAGATATCCCCCCCTGGGAGCCCCAAGAGGCTTCAGGAAGCCCCAGGTGGGGTCCAGGAGGCCACAGGAGGGAGCAGGAGTTCCCCAGGAGGCCCAAGGAGGCCACATGAGGCCCCCGCAACTCGGAGCTCTGAGACGCCGCGCTCGAGGTGGTCCGGCCCGTTTCGCCTGAGACTTCTTCGCAGCACGTTTCGCAAGAGACATCGTCGCAACTCTGGGGTTCGCAACTCTGAGCTCTGAGATGCCGTGCGCAAGGTGGTCCGGCCCGTTTCGCATAAGACATTCTCGCAACTCTGACTGAGCTCCCAGATGCTGCGTAAGAGGTGGTCCAGCCTGGGGGCCCAGAAGACCACATGTTATACATCCCACCTGGGAGCCCCAGGAGGCCCCAGAGAGCTTCAGGAGGCCGCAAGACGCCCAGGACAGGCCCCAGGGGTCCCCAGGAGATTCCCAGAAGGCTCCCAGGAGGCCCCAGCCCCCTATCAGCACGTGTCAAGTTAATACACATCCGGTGCCGATTCGTTGAGTTTTCCTGCTCTTGTGCCCCCCCCCCATTTTGGGGGGCCCCGACGGCCACATGTTAGATATCCCCCCCTGGGAGCCCCAAGAGGCTTCAGGAAGCCCCAGGTGGGGTCCAGGAGGCCACAGGAGGCCCGCGCAACAAGGAGCTCTGAGACGCCGCGCTCGTGGTGGTCCGGCCCGTTTCGCCTGAGACTTCCTTGCAGCACGTTTCGCCCGAGACATCGTCGCAACTCTGGGGTCCGAGATGCCATCCAGCCCGTTACGCTGGAGACATCCTCGCAACTCTGGGCTCCGAGATGCCGTTCGGGATGAAGAGGAGGTGGTGGAGGACGAGGACGAGGAGGAGGAGGCATGTTCTAACGTGCCATGCTAGCCCGCACTGGACGGTCGCGCAATCGACCTTGGAAACCGCAGTAGGTTTGAAACCCTGTTTGGGGATACTGCACTCCGGCTATAATTGTTGTTGGGACCTGGCTGGCCGCTCTGGCGCGCTCATCCTGAAACGCTTTCAGCCGTGAGTGCCCTCTTCCTCCCTCCTGTCCACTGCGGCCGCTTCTCCTCCGTGCGCCCTCTCTTGCAGCTGGACAGCTGGTTAGTCGCGTGCCCCCGACAAATCGAGCGCCCGGGCGGGATCGCCCCTGCCGTGCTGCAACGTTGCAAAGGTTTTGTTGCTGCTGTTTTCGGCCTCGGGGTGCCCTCGCCAGTCTCCAGTGCCGTCAGAAACCGACTCGGGATGAGAGCCAGTCCTGGGAATGGGTCGAGACCATTGTTGCTGTATTCTTTCGGCCTCCTGGGACCCTCGTCGGGCCCCAGGACCGGCAGAGAGCGACTCAGGATGAAGACCAGTCCAGGAAAAGGGTCGGTCGAGACCACCCGGGGTCTGGGCTTTGGAAATCTGCACGAACGAAATGGGTACGGAAAGAATGGGTACAATGCCCAACAGCAGTTCCTGTTCACTTTGAACAGGACTCGCTGTCCGCGCCGCCGCGGCCTGTGTCCATTTGAGACAGAAGGCCGCCTGCCCAACAGCGGCCGCTGTTGGTTTGGGACAACTTTTGTTGTTGGGCATTGTACCCATGTTTTCCGTACCCATATCGGGCGTCCAAAGAAAAAATCACGACGTTGAGGGTTGGGGAGTTCAACGTCGATGTTGGACAACAAGAGTCTATCAGCAGCGAGCGCGGAGGCTTGCCGTCCGGGGTGCAGCCGCAACGCTGGCATTGTGGCCACCCTGCTTTCGGAAGGAGCTCGGGTTTCCGCAGGTCTTTCCCAACGTCCTCCTCTGGTGGTCCTCGCACAACAAACCGCAACCGGTGCCAACACGTGGCTTCCTGCCTTGAGTCAGCGTTTCATGCCAAGACGTTGACTGCTTTCGGGTACCCCTGAACTCTGCTGGTCTCTGCTCGCCACAACGTAGTCAAGGATGGGTCGAGGCAGATGTTGGACAGACTTTGGCCAGGAGGACGCAACGCAAGTTTGTTCCTGTTGGCCATAGGATCAAGCGCGCTGACTCACAAGGTGGCCCGAAAGGACCCGACTGGATACTGGGCGGACTTGTTGCCGTGTTTGTTGCACCGGCGGCAGGGTTGGTTCCATTCGTCTCAGTATTGGGCGGTGGCGCGCTAGCAATCGAAGAGCGGCCCCAAGCACGCCGTTCCGCTGGCAGTCCAAAGCCGTCTTGTTTCAAGCCGTCTTCCGGTAGAGCTTGCAATTGAGGATTGCAGGTATGACGTCGCATGGCCATGGCGAATCACACGGCGGGCATGCTCACGGACACAGCCATGGACACGGCCACGGAGACGGCAAAGATTTGGAGCAGCCGTTGCTCGGCAAAGTTGAGAAGACTATCAACGCGGACGAAATTAAGTTGAAACGGGCGGTATATTTCGCGCTGTTCTTCATGTTCGTCGAGATTTTCGGGGGCATCGCAGCGAGCTCGCTGGCCATAATCACCGACGCGGCCCACATGCTATCAGACGTCGGTGGATTTATTGTTTCGTTGTTGGCGTTGCAGTTGTCCACCCAGGCCGCGACTGCGGAGTATACCTACGGTTTCAAGCAGGCGGAACCCATGGGCGCATTGCTGTCCATAGCCATTGTCTGGGCGCTCACGGCCGTGCTGCTCTGGGAAGCGTTCGGCCGGTTTATGACCTTGACGGAAGTGGACGCGCCGATGATGTTCGTCATCAGCGTAATCGGTTTTTTCGTGAACATCGTCCTCATGATGGTGTTGGGGCACGGGCACGGGCACGGCGACGGCGATGACCACGGCCATGGCCACGGCGGCCACGGCCACGCCGACCATGGAAGTCACGGCGGCCACGGCGGACACGATGACCACGGAGGCGCTGAGGGCGATAGTGGCAGCGTGGCCGTGCAGGCTGCCGTGGCCCACGTCATCGGTGATATCTTGCAGTCACTCGGCGTCTGTATGGCTGCCGGCCTCATGTGGTGGCAGCCGTTCGACGTGGGCGTCGCGTCCACTGGCGTCAGCCGTTGGAACTACGCTGACCCTCTCTGCACGGTGCTCTTCGGATTCCTCGTTCTGATGACAACCAAGGGCACGCTGAAACGCACGATAGCCATTCTCATGGGAAAGGCGCCAGGCAACAAGCAGCGGGAGATGTTCCAGGTGTTGTCTGCTATCGAAGGAGTGGTGCAGATTCACGATCTGCACGTCTGGTCCCACGGGTCCTCCGACCTCCTCTGCACAGCCCACATAGTAGTGTCCAGCGCGGAGCACTCACACACGGTTTTGCGGCAGGCGGTGACGGAGTCGAAGAAGAAAGGGTTGGGGCACACCACCTTCCAGATCGAGGTGGACGGGCAGTTCCAGTGCGACGTGCAGTGCGATGCGGCTTTTCTGGGCGCCGCGCCCAGGAAGGACGCTGGGCATGGGCACGACCACGGGGGCCACGACGCCGGCCATGCTGTGGGCCATAGCGGCGACTGCTGCGGCGGACATGGGCATGACGACGGGCCCGCCCACGCTGGCCACGATGCAGGCCATGCAGCGGGCCACGCGCACGATGCTGGCCAGCCACGGAGGGTCTCTGCACACCACCACCATGCCTGGCCAGTGCCATCCTGACCCTGCTGGCCGAGGCCAGGAGGGCAGACGCACCAAGCCAGGGCCCAGGATGGCCCTGGCCAGGCATAGTGAGGGTGTTTACGCATGCCTCCTGCGCAGGTCATTCACACGGCGGGGGTGGGCACGGGCACTGAGCTCGGCATCTGCCCCCCCGGCGGGCATACGTAGGAGCTGCGCGGGCGCGCGTTGAGCTCGACAGTTGCCCCGGCGGGCATGCGTAGGAGCTGCGCGGGCGCGCATGCATCCGTGTATTTGACCGTCGCGGCCTGAGCCAACACGCTGTGCTTCTCCAAGGGGGGAGGCCGCGAGGGCGCGAAGGTCCTCGCGCTCCGCGTGCGCGGCGCGAGGCCGAAGTGCGGTGACCGCGCCCCGCCGCCGGGGGCCTCCAGGGGGCTCGACCTTCCCCCGCCCCGCCGGGCCGCTTCTTCGCGGAGGCCGCGCGGCCCTCTCCGAGGGAGCTCGGGCAGCACCCGGGGGCGAGGGAGGGAGGAGGAGCAGGGAGGAGGGCGGGAGGAGGAGGAGGAGGAGGAGAAGGAGGAGGAGGTGGAGGAGAGGAGGAGGAGGAGGAGCAGGAGGTGGAGGAGGAGGAGGAGGCGGAGGAGGAGCAGGGAGGAGGAGGGTGAGGGCGCGGCGGAGGAGAAGGGCGGGGGGGGGCGCCGCGGGAGCCGGGCGCGGCGGCTCTCGCGCGGCGCGGAGGGGGTGCCCTTATGAGTCGCGCCCCGGCCGCGGCTCGGCCCCTGCGCCGCGCCTCTCGGCGCCCGGCCGCGCGGTCTGCGCAGGGCCTGGCCGCCCGCCCGGCCAGCACGGGGCCAGAACGAGTGGTGCGTTTGGCGGACAAAGCGATCGGGAACGATCGAAGTTCGGGCCGGACGAAAGGGGGGCTTGGGGAAAGGGGGGGGTTACGAGCAGCTGGTTTCGGCCCCACCGAGCGGCCCATTTCTCAATACATGGCCGCCTCCGGCGCCGGGAGGCGCCGGGAAAATCAGCTTCTCAACCCCCCCCTTTGCTATCCCCCCTTTTCGCCCGGCCCGAAACGAGTTGTGCGTTTGGCGGACAATGCGATCGGGAACGATCGAAGTGGGCACATACGGAAAGAACGGGCACAAAGACCGACAGCAGTTCCTGGCCATTTGGAACAGGACTCGCTGTCGGTGTCGCCGCGGACGTGGTTCATTCGAGACATCAGGCCGCCGGCCCAACAGCGGCCGCTGTCGGTTTTGGACGCCATTAGTTGTTGAGCGTTGTACCCTTTTATCCGAACTCATTCCAGGCGTCCAAGAAGGAGGAGAGATTTGGTCGGACGATGGGGAACAGCAATGGCATAAACATAAACGTTCGTCCGCGCAGATTCCTGGGGTCGGCGCTGGGGCACCCTGGCGGCGCCTCCAGCGCCGCCCCGGGCGCGTTCCGCGCGCTAGGGAGGGGGGTCCAGCGCTTCGAAAAACTCGCGCGGACCTCCGCGTGGTTATTTTTGTTTCGTTGTTCGTTCCCCGAGGACGAGAGGAGGGAGAGATACTGTGGGCGCATCAAGCAAGAAATCGGCCTGCCAGCAGGTGCCCCACAGAAGCATTGAGGCACGTTGGACCCTCAAAGATTGACGAAGAATGTGCCCCAAGATTTCTTACCACCCCCCCCGCAAATGCGGGTAGGAATGAGGGTTTGCTGTGATCTCGGCGCGACGCGCAGTCCGCTGCAGGCGCCGATTTTCAATTTTGGGCAGGCATTTCTGCAGAGCCAAGACGGGCGTCACCAATGGGCCCCCACGACGCCGCAGGCCCCTCCGGACGGTTTACTGAAGTAAGTTAAACGAAGCATTCAATGAGGAAGCTCGCCGCGGGCGCCGATATTTTTTCTATTCTGCGTTGCTGCATCTCTGCGCAGCCAAGACCTGCGCTACCCGTGGGCCACGCGGCGACGGGCCCGCCGCGGTCCCCCGGACGGCTTCCTGGAAAAAGTGGAGCAGAACAGCAACCGCAGAAGTCCACCGCAGGCGCCGACTCTTCATTTATCGGCACCGCATACTGCCGTGAAGCCAAGACCAACGCCACCCTTGGGCGCCGCAGCGACGGGCCCCCACGACGCCGCGGGCCCCCGCGATCGTCGGGGGCGGACAGAACCCCCAACAGTGACACGTCGATTAGTGAATTGTCCGCTTTCGGTTCTCAAGATGGCGCCGTGGCCGTCATTTTCCAGGCTTGCGCCCGCCAGGTTTGGGCCTCAGGTCGTTTTCACTAAACCACGTTCTACTAAAGGGGGCGTCTGTCCATCCCCGAGATTGGGCCCCCCGGGACCCCGCACGACCGGCGCCACCCGTCGGCCCCGCGGCGACGGGGCCCCGCGGCGCTGCTCCATAGCCCCCCGCGGGGGGCCTCCGCCCCCCCCCCCCCCCCCGAGGGCCCAACACGAACGCGTGGGCCCCCCCAGCCGGGCCCGGCTGGGCCCCTCCCTCCGGGCCGGAAGGGAAAGAAGAGGAGGAAAAGAGGGAAAAGAAGAAGAAGAACATAGAAAAGACGATGATAAGCGAGACGGCGTTTGCTTGCCCCGAAGCAGCCAACGTCTCCACGACTTGACATGGATTCGCGTGAAGCCCTTACTCTGACGCTAGGATTCCATATCGTACGTACGCGTCGACTACAGGGAAAGGGGGGTTACGAAACCTGCTGCGTCCAGCTGGTTTCGGCCCCGCCGTTGGGCGCTTTCCTCGATACGTTGGCGCCTCCTGCGCCGCGAGGCGCCGGCAGAAGCAGGTTCGCGAACACAGTTTTTGCTACACCCCCGATTCGTCCTACCCGAGGGGATCCCTGGAGGGGAGGGGTCCTGGAGGTCTGTTGCCCTCTTGGGCCCGCAAAGTACTCGTGCGGAGCCTGCGCATGATTCATAGTTTGCCGTAAAATGTTTGTTGCATTGTCTTTTGACGAGGATGGTAGGGGAGTGTTGTCATGGTTCCGGGTTCGCCCCCTGGTCACGTGTGCGAGAGGGTGCATTTTAAGCAGGAGCGGTGATAAACCTCGCCCCGAAGGGGAAGTCGGAGGTTTGAAGAACTAGTTCGTTCAACCACCTACGCCTATAGGGCTGGTGGGACTAGACAGGGGGCGTATTGAGCAGTGTGTGTGGTGTGTGCGTGTTGCCTTGAGACGGTCGCTTCCGTGGAGGAGGAGGAGTAGGAGAAGGAGGAGGAGTCAGAATAAGCATGATGATAAGTGCTAATAAAATTAATAATAATGTCAATGATAATAATAATCATCATCATAATAATAATAACAATAATAACAATAATAATATAACATTAGAATAATGATGTTTAATAATACTGATATGTGTAGTACTAATACTAAAAGTAGTAATAATACGAATCATAGTAATATTAGTTTTATGAATAACAGAATAATAATTTGAATAATAATGTTAATAATGATATTAGGTTTATGAATAACAGAATTTGAATAATATAAATATTAATTTGAATAATAATTTGAATAATTTGAATAGTTTGAATAAGAACAATAAGAACATCGTACCTTGCTGGAGTTGATTGTAAGGCGCCCCATTTAATTTGGTGATCCACGAGTTTCCCAAGCTCGGCTATCGGTCGCGACCTCTCTACATTTCTTGCACGACGATGCACTACACATCAGCCTCGTGGAACGACGACGACATGCCCACTTGCACGTGCATCGCAGACACACGCGCGTCATCGTGACCACGACCGTCAAAGACAGCTGCAAATGCACCTCACCGCGCACATTTATCACACTCGAACTGTGCTGGATTGAGACTGGCCACCACCCGCGCTACGCTCCTATAGAATCTGGGCCCTCACGTGCTGCCGACCACCACCTCCCGCCATCCGAGGCTTCCGGCTCCTACGATGCCGCCACTCCGGACGTTCCAAGCAGGGACGGCGTCGGTGGCCGCTGCGGCCGCCCTCGGAGCCGCGCTGCTGGCCGTCGAGTGGAGGAGGGGGCGGCTGAGCCGCGCTCTGCGGAGGCTAGTCCCAGGGCAGGTCGCTGCCAGGGCGGGCCCCGTGGTTCTCCTCACCCGCGACGAGCACCAGCAGGGCCCCTGGTTGCTCGACCTCAGGCGGGCGCTGCTGGCACTCGGCGCGGAGGTCGAGGTCCTGCCGCTGTCGGGCTTCCGGCGCCCGAGCGCCAGTTGGCGAGTGCTCGTGAATCGCGTCTCGGACGCCGCGCCGCCCGCCGACGTGAAGGTGTGTTGCGCAGCCCTTCGGGGTGCCGAGGTCGTCGGAGTGCCAGTGGTCAACGGCGTTTGGCCGTACACGCTGGCGACGTCGAAGGCGATGCATTACGAGCTCTTCGCCGCAGTGGGCGCACCCACGCCGCCCTACGTGGTGCTGAGGCGCGGCGGCCCAGCCCCCGCGCAGGCGGCCGCCGAGGCCGGCCTGCGGGCGCCGCTGCTGCTGAAGCCCAGCGCGGGCGGCTTTGGGAAAGGCATTGTCAGGCTCGACGGGCCGGACGACCTGCAGCGCTGCCAGGGCGCGTGCGAGGAGCTGTCCGCTGCGCTGGGTGAGGAGGGCGTCGCCCTGCTCCAGGAGTTCCAGGAGCCCGACGAGGGATGCACGTACCGGGCCTGGTTCCTCCAGGGCCAGGTGCATTGCGGCGTCAGGGTCCGAGCGCCGAGCTTCAACGCCTGCGTGGGCGGCGCCCCGCACGAGCCGTGGCCGGTGCCCACGGACATTGCCACGCTTTGCTGCCGCATGGCCGAGCTGGCCGGTGCCGACTGCGGGTCGGTGGAGTGGCTCTATGCGGGGGGGCGGCCCTGGTTCTTCGACTTCAACCTGCTCTCCACGCTGCCTGAGGCCGCGCCCCAGGGCGACCCGTACGAGCAGCTGGCCCGAGCGGTGCTCGCCAGGGCGGAGGGGCGCCTGGCGTAGAGCGGCCCGCGCACGCCCTCGTAGGTCCGGGCGGACGGCCAACCGTTGTGCGGCCTTCGCGCGGCCTTCGGACGCGTCGCCGCTCGGAGCCCAGGGCGCCCTCTGGACGCCGGGGGCAGCGACGGCGACGACGGCGACATGGCCGACTTGCCGACGACGACGACGACGACGACGACGACGACGACGACGACGACGATGACGACGGGGGCTGGGTCCCTGGCTTTCTGATGCTGGTCCCGGCCCGCATCACGGGCAACGTGACGGGGCATGGGCTCAGAGGGGCGCGCATCGACCTCCAGTGGCCCACTCACGTCACCGATGGGGGCCCGATGGCCCGCCCCGCCCAGGAGCGTGCGGACATGCCATCGGGCGCACGTCGCCGACAACCCACTGGCGACGCATCTCCGATCCCAGCTCGATGATCCCGCCCCCCCCTCCTCCTCCTCCTCCTCCTCCTCCTCCTCCTCCTCCTCCTCCTCCGCCTCCTCCTCCTCCTCCTCCTCCTCCTCCTCCTCCTCCTCCTCCTCCTGTGCCGGCCCTCCGGTGACGTCCCCCCTCGCCACAGTCGGGGTGCCTGCTCTCCAGAGGGCAGCCGACAGGAGCGAGAGGGCGCACGGGCGCTGCACTCGGGGCGGGCCCGGCCAGGAGCGGTGCAGGTCGAGGCTCAGGCCTGCGGCGCCGCGGCCTGTCTCACGGCGTGGGCCCTCGGACGTCGCGGCCCCGCTTCCAAGACCGGGTTCTTATCGCGGGCCGTTTGATTACCGTTCTGGAGCAGGGGAGGAGGAGGAGGAGGAGGAGGAGGAGGAGGAGGACAAGGAGGAGGAGGAGGAGGAGGAGGAGGAGAAAGAGGAGAAAGAGGAGAAAGAGGAGAAAGAGGAGAAAGAGGAGGAGGAGGAGGAGGAGGATCAGGAGGAGGAGGAGAAGGCGCATTGACCCTCCTCCTGGTTCCTGGTTTCTGGTATCTGCATAGTCGTGCAGATGAAGCCAGCCCAGCCCTGCTCCGCGGGGCTGGTGTGTAAAGTGGCGCCGCTAAGCGAAAGGGGGGAGGCTACCTCAGGGAGAGAGGGAGAACCAGAAAGGGGACGACACGGGAGGACACCAGCAGAGGAGGAGGAGGAGGAGGAGGAGGAGGAAGGCGAGGAGGCGAGGGGGAGCAGTGGGCACGGACAGAGGGAGGAGGAGTTCACAGCTAATCAGTGAAGCCCCCACAGCGCCCTCCCCGATAGCGGGCCGCACCGGGGGCGTGCAGACCTGAGGTCCCTGCTAAGGCGGTGAATCAGGGGAGGGCGCAGGGGGGGGGGTCACCGGCGCTGGGGCCCCTAGTGAACCTGCTGCGGCTGTGGTCCGTTCGTCCCATCCATCCTCACCCCATCACGATCACAGTCCCCTTCCCGCCCCGGGATCGCGGGGCGGCGAGCGGCAGGGGCCAGCGACGGTGAAGCAATGGAGGGAGGGTGGTGCGGCCACAGTGGCGCGGCCACAGCATTCGGTCGGCAGCAGGTTGCGATGCTACCAACAGCGCGGGAGTCTTCGTTCCCCTCGCCGGTTGGCACTGTGTCGGTTGGAAGGACAGGACAGTGCTGCAGAGGGGGTCGACTGTGATCTTCAGTCAGCGGTTGACGCCCACGCCTCTGCCAGATGTGTGTATACACTACACTGGGCTCTGAAAAGGATTCGTTGCTGGCCGCCGATTGCGGCGCTAGGCGGGTGGAGCCCGCTGGATGAGCCCAGTCAGTCGGCAGCAGGTTGCGATGCCACCGACTGATCGGGAGTCTTCGCGCGTGGTTGGTGGAACCGAATCAGGCCGAGCGTTGTCTTCGCGCCCCGCCACTACACTGAGCTGTAAAGAGGGGTCATGTCTGATGTCTGGCCGCCGATTGTGGCGCTAGGCGGGTGAAGCTCGCAGGATGAGCCGGTGCCTGTTTGCGCAACCACATTCGCAGTTGAAATCGCTCGGCGAGTACGGGTCCCTAGTGTGTGATACGCTTGGGTGCGAGGCGCCTTGAGCGCTCGGCCCACGAGTCTCCCTGCATGTGGGAATACGTGCCGGTGAAACGGCTGCTGTGGTCCGTCCGTCCCGCCTAACCCCACCACTCACATCACTGATAACAAACCCTTCCCGCCCCGAGAGCGCGGGGCGGCTAGTGGCAGGTAACGCCGACGGTGATCACAATCCTCCTCCAAGCCGAAGCCCTTCTGGCATTAGGAATACACTGCCGGTGGTTTTCGATGGTAAGATCGCTCAGCGAGTACGGAGTTCCTGGAGTGTGATATGCGGTGTGACATACCTGGAAGCGCAAAGCGTTTACGGCACGCCAGCGTGCATGGGACGGAGAGGGAGAGGAGATTAGAAGAGGAGCGGGTGAAAAGCAGATTGGGCGGGCGAGGGCGGTGACAACAGCCAGCAGAGAGCTGGGTAGCCTCAGCAGGCTATCTGGTGACACGCTGGCTCTGGCAGCATTACCGCCAGCACCGAAGGTTGCGGAGCTGCGGCGCTCGCTGGACGGCCGAATGGGCCTCGTGCCAGCTCCTCCGCTGGCCGGGTCGCGCCGACACGGCTGCTGCCAAGCAGTCGGGCTGAGAGTTCCTCACCGTGTGGCCCACCCCCCGGCTCCGAGGCTCGACCCATCCCCGTCACCACACAGTGATGTCAGAACGGGCAGAGCGGAATGGCCAGCGTCCTCCGGGCGCACCCGCCTATCAAGTTCCTCGTGTGCGGCGAGAGTAATTCGAAGAGACGCCGCGCGCCCATCTCCTGCGCGAGGCCTGCGGACTGGGTGATGGTGTGCCGTTCGCGCTCGTCCGAGGCGTTCTTCGAGGTCTTGGAGGAGGACCCGCCAGGGCTAATTATTCGGGAGAGCCGTCCAGGCGGCCACCATGATCCGTCTCCACCTCCTCGTCCTCTCCATCCTCCTCGACGAGAAGGAAGGGCCCTTGCCTCCGACCCGACGTGACCGACAGCCGCCGCCACCTCCTCCGGGTCGAGGGCGTAGTGGCGGGTGCAGCCCCTGGCGTAGCGTAGTCGCTGGCATAGTCTCTGGCGTGGGCGTCGGCGGTGTCCACGCTTGGTCTTCGACGGGAGGGCTGCGGTGAGTGCTGAGCTCCGCCTCTGCCGCTGCCCTCAGAGGGGTGCCGTTGCGGAGGGCTCCCAGCGGGTCCAGGCTCTCCCAGCGCGCTCAAGGCTCCCAGCCTGTCGAGGGCTCCCTGGTTGTTGAGCGCGTCCACGGCTGTCAGCGTGCTCAGGGCTCCCAGCGTGTTTAGGGTTCCCAGGTTGTCCAGGGCTCCCAGCGTGTTCAGGGATCCCTGCATGTCCAGGGCTCCCAGCGGCGGGAAGGTGGGGCGGCAGGATGTGCAGATCGAGGGACGGAACAAAGATGGGCGCGTCTCTCCGCAAGCTGAAGCCCTGGGGTTCGCCGTGGTGTTTGTCGTAGCCGAAGTGGGCGGCGGGTTCGTCGCTCTACGTCCAGGTGCCTGGCGGACATGCAGGTGGCGAAGGGGCAGCGGAACCAGTCTGGACGCTTATGTTCTTGCGGACTTCCTGGGTCTGCTCGACGCTGTCCTTGCTGTACCTGGTGCTGTCGCCCAAGTCGCGCGGGCGGTGTGGCGCAAGCAGTTGCGGTTGCAGATGGGGCAGGCCAGGAGGATGGCGATGTCCCTGGCCCAAGGCCGACCCCCCCTGCGCGCGGTGTGCCCAGCCGGCGCGCGGCAGCCTGTAACAAGTCTCCACGATCGTGGGTAGGTCTTGGCCGTGTCTAGCTTCTGTATGTCTCTCAGGAGGGAAAAACACACAGACACAATTAATCGTCGATTCCCCAGAAAATATGAGAAGTGGGGGGGAAGACAAAAACCATGGAAATATTGGAAAATATGTGGAATCAGTTTATTTGTGTGTATTTATTTGTGTGTCCCGGGGCCCCCTTCAGTCTCGTAGACCGTCTGGGCCCTGGTCGCGGGCATCTCGACTGCCATGGCGCGGCGGGCGCCGCGCCTGCACTGTCGCCCGCTGCGTGACGCCCCGCCCCATATGTCGAGGGCCCGTGCGGGGGGCGCGCGTCTCCGAGTCGGGCAACGGCTCGTCGAGCCAAAGTGGCTACGGTCACACTCCCCCTCCTCTTTCTCCTCCTCCTCGTCCTCCTCCTCCTCCTCCTCCTCCTCCTCCTGCTCCTCCTCCCTCCTCCTCCTCCTCCTCCTCCACCTCCTCCTCCTCCTCCTCCTGCTCCTCCTCCTCCTGCTCCTCCTCCTGCTCCTCCTCCCTCCTCCTCCTCCTTATCTCCCTCCTCCTCTTCCGTTCTTGCGCTCGTCTCTTCGTCGTCGTCCTCCTCCTCCTCCTCCTCCTCCTCATGCTGCCCCCCCCGCGTTAGTATTGTTATTCGTTCTCCTCCTCATCATCATCTTCCTTCAGTGACCATTAGCGAAGAGAGCACGGTTACCGCCTATACAAAAGAGAGACGCAGCAACAAGCCCGTTGAAAAAGAGAGAAAATAGAGAAACAAGTTGGCTCATCGTGCTGCACGCCGCGGTCGCTCAGGGGCTTGGCAGCGGCGGCGGAGCAGCAAGGAGCTAGGAAACGGGAAAACTCTTACCGAACTGCTTTATGCTCGATGGGACAACGCCTAGCTTCAACATTCGCAAAGACAGAGCGGCCTCCCTGTTTCGCGGCCCCTGGTTGCACTGCTCTTGGAGGTACCTGGAGCGCTCGGAGCCGAAGGCCCCGCAGGGAGAACGCCACGCCACCCGCTCTCCCCCGACCCACATCCTGCGCGAGGGGTCGGAGGCGCGGGCGGGGCCGGGGGAGGCCGCGACAGGGAAGCAAAGAGATTGAAAACCTCGACGTCCCCCCTTTCCCCCACACCGTGCACACAGGGAGCACGCGTGCCTGCTCTGGCTAACTGGTGGCCCCGGGGATCAGGCGTCAGCTCGAGTCCTGCTGTTTTGAGGCGCCCCACCCGCTTCACCCTGGCCACAGGTGGAACATGCTTTGAAGCTAGACTAGCGAGCCCCCTTGACATCAGCATTCCCGCCCTGCAGCACACGCTCGGCCACGACCTCGCACCGTGCCTTGGCATAGGGGAGATTGGACTGATGCTCGGCTCCGAGACGTGCTGGTCTGTCGG